ACCACAGCAGGTGCAAAGGCACCGAGATGTTCATGGAGATTGTTTTCCCTCACATTTCCCCACAGGGACCATAAACTTCTGAAAAGCAGGGGCTGTTTTAAATTTCTCCTGAGAAATCTCCCTTCCGCCTGTTCCTAGGACAGGACTGGGCCACTAGGAAACTTTTGTGAAATAACTTCAATTATCTTCTAGATCTCTGATAACTTTAAAAAGGGCAGTTTTCTTTTAGACTGTGTTCTCAAATATACCATGCAGAGCAGAGAATAAACCACAAAGCTGAAGCCAGTGCTAGACATTGTCTAGTTGACATTAGTTCCTAATATAAGGAACACATACTGTCCCTTATCTGCAGAGCAAAGCTCTGGTCCCATCTCAGCCTCCTAACATCATTATGAGGCAGCCTGGGGAAAGCACCATTTTTCCACTGTATAAAAGGAAAACAGGAAGCCCAGAGGATTAACATACAAGGAAGGCTGGGGCCATCCTGGATCCCAGGTCCCTTGACTGAAGACCCTCTGTCTGACCTTGCTGCCTCCTTTCCAAGCATGGTCCTTTGCCTTTAAGCACGCTGAGCACATCCCTGCGATGACCTCTTCTAACTGCAGTACCACTGGGAGAGAAAGACCCCCCTTCCCCAAATGGGCCTCTTTCTTCTACTGTTCCGACTGTGGGGCATCCTAACCACCTTATGGTAACTGGGGGTCATCAGATCAACTGGGCTCTTTCCAACCTGCCAACTGCACCTACTGGATTCCCAAGGTTATTTCCGTTTTCCTGTAACTACTATTTTCACTGGATTTAGTAGTCACTGTCACATTGCTGGCGGCAGACAAGTCCCAACTGACTCGTTACCGTCATTACTGAGGGCCTGGTTATGCTCCACGGAAACAATCCTCAAACAAGCCAGAGTTTGTCAACTAGCTACGAGACTGATTAACAGTCACTAGAGAAATAGCTTATCAAAAAACTGGCAGGGCTTCCCTGGTGGCGCAGTGGTTGAGAGGCCACCTGCCGCTGCAGGGGACACTGGTTCGTGTCCCGGTCCGGGAAGATCCCACATGCCGCGGAGCTGCTGGGCCCATGCGCCATGGCCGCTGAGCCTGCGCGTCTGGAGCCTGTGCTCCGCAATGGGAGAGGCCACAACAGTGAGAGGCCCGCATACCGCAAAAAAAAAAAAAAAAAAAAAAAGGCAAAAATTGATCAACCTGAAGTTCACTTTTTCTGCATTTTCTTTTCTTTTTTACACATTAAAATATTAACTCATTCAATCATCTGGCACAATAAAAGTCTTACAGTATTTACCCACTGAGGACACCCCACAGCACTGGGAACATTGGGTGGAGACTGAAGAGAGAGCCTGAGGGTCCTGGGACTTCCTGAGGGACATGAAATGAGACAGGCAGGTGTTGTGCAGGCATCTCTCACCACCCGGATCACCTGGGCACCTGCTGAAGATCAAAACACGCAGCAGATGACCTGCCCAGGCCCAGAGCCCATCGTCCTGGCCCTGCATGAAAAGGCCTTTGAAGTCAAAGGGAGTTCTGTGCACCTGGGTCGGCCCCCAGGTGAGTGGAAAGAAGAGGCAGGTGGCCTAAGGGGACGGTGGGTCTGGTTTCTATGACGCCCAGCCCCGGGGAAGGGGGAAGGCAGTCGCTCTGTGCGACACCCTCTCCTGTGAAGCCGAACATCAACCTGCCCACAGACCCCTACAGTAGGTCCTGGGCACCCGGTTTCCTCTTCTTGCCCTTCAACTCCTCTCACTTTTGTTCATTTTGCTCCTTCCACAGATAGAGAAGGGCTGTGCTTTAATATGTGACCCTCTGATGTGCTACCTTGGGCCCTGCAGAGCAGCCCATTCTCTCCCGGCCCCTCCTCTCAGTCCTGTGGCTGAGGCTGTTTAATGTCCCCAGGCCCTGGGCCCAGCTGGGGCCGAAGTGGGGGAACTGAAGGACAGCCCTACTAGCAGCTCACCCCCAAGTTGGCCCTGGGGCGTGTTCCTCTCCAGCTATATCCCCAACTCCCAGGACCAGCTCTCGCCTTGTCCCCTGTGAGCAGGCTCCCTCCTGAGCTTGGACATGACCCCACTAAATCCCCTTTGCCTTTTTCTGTACTTTCCGATCTTCTGGTAATTTCCAGCCCATCCTCTGCGAAGCCTTCCCTGACTCGCAAAGGGGGTTGGAGCCTGTGGTGCTCCATAGCTCCCCAAATTTCTCCTCTTGCGATGCTCATCAGCCTTTGCCATTCGCACCGTGGGGAGAGGCCACCACTCTTCCCCAGCGCCTTGCCAGGGCCTCGTCCCCCCAGTGCTCACCTAACGTCTGTGCATTAAAGAATGAAAGAACGTGTCCTGCTCCAAATCATTGAGGGTTTAACCACAGAGACAATTCCCTTCACCCAGACTCATAGCCCATAACGACAGCGGGGCGGGCAGCTGTACCCTGGATGCTGGAGTAGGAAGGTCCCTCCCTGGTCCTGAGCTGTACTTCCCAGGGCCTCACCTCTCCTCTGTGATTGTTTTTTTTTTTTTTTTTTTTTTTTTTTTTTTTGCGGTACGCGGGCCTCTCACTGTTGTGGCCTCTCCCGTAGAGGAGCACAGGCTCCGGACGCGCAGGCTCAGCGGCCATGGCTCATGGGCCCAGCCGCTCCGCGGCATGTGGGATCTTCCCGGACCGGGGCACGAACCCGCGTCCCCTGCATCGGCAGGCGGACTCTCAACCACTGCGCCACCAGGGAAGCCCGCCTCTGTGATTCTTTAGGGCGAGGGCCCAGCACCACAGTCCACCGCCAGGGCGTCAAGCCCTGCCACCTCCTGCCACACCTCACTCCCAGCCTGATCTGGCTTTAGCTTCTGGCCCTGTCATGTTGCCCTCTGGCCACAGGTCCCAAACACCACATTACAGGCACAGCTTGCATTCACCAGCCAGCTGCTGTGGTCACAATACTGCTTCAACTTGAACAGACAAACCTGAGGAGGTCTAATTTGATCTCCTAGCTTTGTATCCCAGACACAAGGGACATGCGACGTAGTGGAAAGAGCACAGGCTCTGTTCTAGAGCTCTGGCGTCAGTAAGAGCCATCACACTTTCTAGCTGGACCTTCAGCAAATTGCTTTCTCAGAACCTCAGTTTTCTTGCCTGTAACTTGAACATAACAACACAGGCATCGAAAGGGGGTCGCGACACTTAAAGGAGAGAACATAAGAAAGCACCTAGTGCAGAGCTTAGAATTTGGGAAATTTTCAATAAATGCTTGCTTTCCTGGAGGCACTGAAGCCATTGCTTCCCTTTCCGCCAGGACTAAGACCACATCAAGGGAATGAGCTGGAAGATGCTTGTTCAGTGTTGCCCTAGTTAAGACTTCCAACTGTCCTGCAATTTCTGTTCTTTCATCTTTTCTTGGTAACAGAACCTCTTATTTTTAGGCTGTGCACGGCCGCCACCAACGAAATGACATTTCCTGTCCCCCCTTCCACAGAGGAGTTGCCATGTAACTGGGATTTGGCCAATGGGTGTAGATGGAAGTGTTGTCATGACTTCCCTGCTACCTTCCTCACAGCCCAATAAGACAGGGTGGTTGGAACTCGAGTGTCTATTTCAGCTCTGAGGTGGAAGCAAGTGGCAGGCTGTGCAACAAGAAAAAAGGTGCGTGGGTCTGTGACCTCTGGCAGCCCATGCTGGCATGGGGTCTCCTCCTGTGGGCTTCATTTACATGAGAGAGAAATTGCCTGTCATCTTGTTTAAGCCACTGTTTTGAGGTTTCTGTCACTCTCACACAAAACTCATCCTGATTGATTACTCTCCTGTAATCCATTTGAACAAGGTTCCCTGCTGGATAATTATTGGAAGTGCATTGCAGGCCTTCAGCAAGCTTCCAGAGACCCCCGACAGAAGAGACTGCCCCTAGAGCATCTCTAAGCTGGAAACATGGGCTTTCAAGGGCTTGGACCTCCCGAGAGCTGGCTGCCCATCCTGAAGTAATGTCCATGGGGTCCGTTGACTCCAGAAGAGAGGTAAGAGAACCTAGTTTACTAAGAATCTACTACATGTAGTTATTCCTACATATACAACTGGAGCCTACAGGGAACAGAATAAACTTGATAAACATTAAGAAATTATGTTAGCCTGTTGCTTTGACATCTGCTGTGGTTCTTATCTGCCTGGTGAAAGTCTCCAAAAGCAACTTACTCTTTTGTACTCACATCAGAGTATGAGTTTGGGCCTTAACTAAATCAAATTGAGGAGTGAGTGAGAGAAGATCTAGAGCAGTATCACTCAAAGTGGGGGCCACAGACTAGTGGCCTGGGCTCACCCTGTATGTGATTAGTCCGCAGTGAGATAAGGAGCTTGTGCCAGAAGTTAGGTCAGCTGCATCACTAGGCCTACCGTCTCATTCTGCTGACTTTTTTTTTCACAGCAAGACTTTCTTGATGGAGGAAGTGATGGAGGGATATACATTCTGGCATAAGCTCCTTATCCGGTGTCAGACACCCCTTTGAATAGCACTGTTCTAGAATGTGGTTGCTCTCTCACAGGGATCCAAAAAAACATAACCCTACCACAAACCAAGTGAATCAGAGTCTCCGAGGATGGGGCCCAGGCATCTGTATTTTAGTAAAGCACCATAGCTGATTCTGAGGAATATCTCTGGTGGAAAACCACTGTATAGATATGACAGCAGAATGGAGGGTAGTACTGTCTTCTCAGGAGCAAAGCAATGTGAACATCTGTGCACACTTGCTTTAAACTTAAGCTTGTTCTTCTGAGCACAACGTTTTAACAGTGTCTTTCCTGGGTTCTTTTTTTCACATACTGATACAAAAGAGGAAAAAGAATTTCCTGCTTTTTCTCCCATGACAGAGACCCAGGCACTGTCTGTTGGCATCAGATGCCTTTGACTGCATGGGAAATTCGGTCCTTACAAAGACAGGCCAATGGTTCCAGAATGGTGAGGCCTTCCGTGCACGACTCCAGGGTGACGGACCCCACTCCCACTGCCCTTACCTGCAGTTCCCAGGCTCAGGAGCACGGCCACCCAGGAGACCCAGAAGAAAATGAGGATGGTAAACGTCCACAGTGGCTGGAACAGCAGGAAAGGAGAGTTGCTGATGGCTTTATTTGTGACTCGGAGAAGTTCAACTGTCAATTTTATTCTCTTTCTGAGGACAAAAATCAAGACGAGCAGAACTGCCTGGTGAGAAAGGAGTTAAATTATTCAAAATAATGAAGAACTGAGAAGAGCTGAAAACAAACCCTAATATTTTACTGACATCTCAGCAAACAACTCTTTTAAGATAGTTACTCCCTACTTTTATTATAATAGAAGAGCCATATTCTCAAATACTAACTGAGCATCTACTATGTGCTGATACTTATGCTAGATCCTGCTGCTACAACAGTGGACAAGACACAGCCCCTGCTCTAAAGGAGCTTGCAATCTGGTCAGAGAATGAGAGAAAACGAGAATAAGATCCTCTGGGGTCAGGGAACCGTCTATTTCTTTTTCCCTCCACAGCACCCAATATGCTCAGAGAATGCTGAAGGACGGCAGAAGGTCAAGGGGACACAAGTATGAGGGAAGAGGACAGTGATCGTGCCTCAAAGCAACCTTCTGTGCCTCCTCCTCTGCTGGCTTTGGCCTCCCTGTATATAAATATCATATTAAAGAAACAAACCTCCCTCTACCCTCACACCACGGCCCAGCCACCGTCATCTCTCATCTCCTTCACAGGCGAGCTTCTCCAGGTACTAGTGCACACTAGCCATCTGCACGTCCATACCTGCACTCATCCTTCAGCTGCCTGTAAACCTCCGGACCCCAAGACTCTCCTGAAACTGCTCTCCCCAAGGTCACCTCATCTGACCTCCTGAATGTCAAATCCCACGGAAACATTCCAGATCTTGTCTGACCTCAGCATGGTGTGTGAATCTCTTGTCCCCTCCTCTTTTCCTAAAATTTTCTCCTTCGACTTCTGTGACTGCTCTTTCCTCTGGCTCTCCTTCTACTTCTTCAGTTGCTATTTCTTGGGATCCTTTGGGTGGTCTCTCCTACTCCTCTGTGGTTTTAGAATCCTTCTTAGATGCTGATAACCTTTAAATAAAAATCTCCAGGGTCCAGTGGTTAGAACTCCACGCTTCCACTGTGGGGGGCACGGGTTTGATCCCTGGTTGGGGAACTAAGATCCTGCAGCCAATTAAAAAAAAACATCTCCAGCCTCACCTTTCTCTAGGTGCTAGATGAGTAAGCACTTCAGTTACTGACCAGGTGTTGGGTGTCCTATAGTGTGTCAAACTCAACTTGTCCTGAACTGAATTCATTATCTTCATACAAAAACTTATTTCCCCTGTATTCCCTACTCCAGTGGCCCTAATTTTCCTGGACTGTCCAAGAAAAAATCAGGCTCCTCTCTTGCGTGCTTCCATTTTATCCCATATTTACCCTACTGTAGCACTCCACATACTCTACTGTAGATGTTTATTGTCTGCATTTCACATTACATCAAGCTCCTTGAGGGCAGGGCCATCTGTTATTGCCAAGGACTGGCACAGTCCCAGCACACAGCACAATCTCAATCACCTTGGACTCAGTTTCCCGATAGAGCTCTCAATCTATCCTCTCCTCTCTATTCCCACGTTGATGCCACAGCTCAAGTCTCAACATCTCTCACCCAGACCCCAGTAGCCTCTGCACTACCTTCTGCTTTTAATCCCCTTAGCCCCCTACCCCTGCCTCAATCCCTCTTCCAACCCAAGCTAAACGGATCTTTGTAAAAGGTAGAGTCAAGGATATCATCTCCCTGCTCAAAATCCTTCAACATCTCCCCAGAGCTCCTGGATAAAGATCGAAATCATCATCACTGTAAATCAGGATCTTCCTGGCATGGTCCCTTCCTGTCGAGGGAACTTTCTGCAGGCTCCTCTCTTGTCTATGTGACCCCTCCCATGCTACTCCCTTGGCCTAAGATGCCTTTCCTCTTCCAGCTGGGCTTGGGCATTGCTGCCCTCAGGGACCTCATAATCAAGTGGAGGAAAGTCAGAGGGCATGGGATAAACTGTGCAAAACTGCTCCAGGGGTTGGGAACAGGGCCTCCTGCCATAGCTGTGGGGACTGGCCTGAGGAGCCAGGGAAGATGCCCGGAGAAGACGGTAGGAATTTCCATCTCTGTGTCCTCAATGCCTAGCACAACCAACAAGGAAGAGGGACATTTTTTGTTGTTGTCGTTTTTTACTAAAAATTTTAATGAGGCAAAATGATACAATCTTTAGGCAAATAAACTTGGCTTCTAGCTCCTGAGTGGAATGGTAAAATGTGTGCGTTTAAATGTGTGTGTTTTTCAACTATATTATTTATATATATATATATATATATATAAAATGCTCCCCTCACGTTCAAAGTACACCAGGATATTGACCACAAATGATGAGTTAACTCTAACCCGTCACTTCCCCAGTCTCAAGGGAGATCAGCATTACCCACTGGGGATGGTGCTAGGGGTGCTGGCTGGGCAGGGGGAACAGCAGAGCTGACTCACCACAGGGGTCAAGCCTCAACTTCACCCTTCTGGGCTCTAAGATGCACACTGCTGCACCTCAGCCTGTGCCCCTAGGCTGACACACTGAGGCGAGCATTCGATGCCATTCATCCCATTTTCTTCATCGCTGCTAGTGGTTTTACTGAAACCACTGAAATAATCTTCCTAGGCAGCCCCCCTCATAGGCCGCCATCTCTCCCCGTGTACCACGTCACGGCGTTGCTAGCCCTGGAATTCATCTCATTGTGGGGCGCGTGCTACCTCTGTGTCGTGTCTTCCCAGGTCCATTGCTTAGTGCGGGGCCCTGGGCATAACAGGCGCCCAGTAAACGGTGATGGTGACGAAGAAGCTAGGGCTCTTACGAGAACAAGCTCCTCAGCAGCAGTCCTTGGTAGAGACTGAGCGGCAGTGACACGTGCGTTAAATGAACGGTGTGTGAGCCGCGGTGCGCTTCCTCACTCTGCTCTCACAGCCTGCCCTTTCCCTAGCCTTACGCTTGGTGAAGAGCATTCCCCCGACCCTGGCATCCGGCGGCCATTAATGGCTCAGTGTGTGAAGACAAAGGGAGCCCTGTGGAGGGCTGGGGGTGGGGGAAGGGGAGAAGCAAGCTCTCCCGGCTCCCCGCCCTTCTCCTCCCTGCCCCTAGTGCCAACAGCCCAGCACGCGGCCTGGGGTGCAGGGGGGCCTTTCTTCTCCAGCCTCCTGCACACTCCCTGGCTCAGCTACGGGCCTGGTCCCGGGACGAACCAGGAGCTTTGCTTTATCGGATACTTGCTCACTGAGATGCAGTTCACGTGACAAACGCAAACCTGACACCTCACTAGAAAGGAGAAAACGGGAAGCCTGTACCAAACATGAGAACCGAAAGATCCCCTTAGAGGAGAGAGCTGAGCTGGTGGGAGAATCTGCCCTTGCTGAAAGATTTAATGGGCGTGTGGAAACCCCGGCTGCCATGCCTGCGTGAAACAGTTAGCAAGCAACACACCAAAGGATGCCCGTGGGCCACCTGAAATCAGTTCCCGACCCTTTCCGGGGCCCTATGATTCCAGAACTGCTATCAGCACCCGGCGAGGGACCAGAATGATTTTCAGTTGCCAAGCACCCTCCCCCAACAACCAGGATCTCCAGGCTCAATGCTGTTTGCCTGCTCTCAACTAGGGAATTCACCAAGGAGGCGGCGGTTCTCTCAAACCAACTTAGCCTAGCAGCCGCACGTCTGGAAACAAAGGGCTCTCTGTGTTCAAGGGCAATGCGAGTTGTCACAGCCTTGAGAGCAGAGCATCCACTGGCTAGAGGGGTGGCGACTCTCCGCAAACCAGGAAATGGGAACTGTTGTATGTCTGGCTCCCTCTCCACGCTGCGGCGTCCCCCCTATAGCCGCCTGTGGGTGCAAGCGGTTCTACTGTGTTCAAGGGTAATGAGTCAGCAAGGGTAACGAACCAACCTCTGAGATGGCGGACATGACGGAACGAAGTCAGGGCGTTTCCTCATCTTTTTTAAGGCTGCAATGCATTCCTGTGTAGGTATCTCAAATAAAACACAAAGGCACCAGACGTGTGTGTACACTCACTACACTAACATGTATATACATTCTGCAGTGAAAGAAAACAAGTGCTCGTTGCTTTTTGGTTAAAATCTAATTATTTGGATTTCAGAGTTCTGCCCGGCTACTTGATCTACTGCTGGAAGGGTGCTTCTTACCGTGATAACTGTAGACACAACAGCAAACCCCAGCAAACACTTCATGTTCTCCCTTTCTGTGTCCAATTCTGTGCTGAGGTCATTAGTGTAGTCATAATACAGCCACCATAAGACACCACAGACAACTGGAAAGCAAAACACCAGCAGAACTCAGCGCACATGCCATGAGGTAAGCATCCGCCCCTCCCTTCACACCAGGCGGCCCTGCTCAGGCAGTGGGTCCCAAACCCCTGGGGCTTTGCAGGCACTGACCGGCCCTCTGAAGCAGCTGGATGGGGCCAGCTGAGGACCTGCCAGACCTGGGGTGGCTGCCCGTCTCTGGGAGACGCAGGGAGGTAACTCCGGAACACAGATGTGCCCTGTCAGCCTAGCCCATGGGTGGGGCTGGGTGTGAGCAGGGAGGAAACCACACTGACGGGATGGTGAAAGGAACAATATTAGAGTCTAAAGTCTAAAATTTCCAAGTGAGCTCTGCGGGTGACAACTCCAAGGGCAGCCTGGATATTGGCTTGGGCACCTACAAAACTGGGCGGACGCCTCGACATTGCACATGCTCTGCATTTAGGTACTAAGTGCTACCTGCAGCGCATCCACAGTGACGACAGGGAGGTCACAGTCGTCTTTACTAGCCGTGGGTGGGGAAGGCACCCTCACAAGCCATAGTGCGTGTCCTCCAGCACCTGCACGCTGGGCACCTGTGATCTGCAGAACTGACTGTTTAGGGGATGAAACCCCTACGGTCATGCCAATTATTAAAAATTAAAATATCCTATACTAGTTCGGAAACAGCTGCTGCCTTGAGCTCCCTGCGTGCCTCTGCCCCTCAGACCTTCTTCCCCGACAACTTCTGGATGGATCCAGGATCCAGCACTGAAAAGGAAAACAGTGGGCACCGGGCAGCGTCTCCGGGACCCTGCCCCAGCTCAGGGCCTGCGTCTCTTCAGATTGGCCGGAGCCTTTGCATGACAATGTGGGTACCCACGGGTGATGTGAAAATTCAGAAGACATCCTTTAAAGCAACGGTCCCCAACCTTTTTGGCACCAGGGACCGGTTTTGTGGAAGACACTTTTTCCACGCACAGGGTGGGAGGTGAGGGGATGGTTCAGGCCGTAATGCGAGCGATGCGGGAGGATGGAGAGCGGCAGATGAAGCTTCGCTCCATCGCCTCCTGCTGTGCAGCCCGGTTCCTAACAGGCCTCGGACCGGGGGTTGGGGACCTCTGCTTTAAAAGGGCTTCCAACAGGCATTGGAACTGACTTTTAGTGGTGTGGAAACCAGTACCACTCACCTGGCCGGCTCATCTGAGAGGCGGCACAGTGCAGAAGAGACAGAAGGCTGAGCAGGAGGAACTCTGCTGTGATCTGTGAGACGGAAGCAATCCTGTGGTCCTCCCTGACCTCTCTGGGCCTGGGTCTCCTCATATGTAACATGAGGGAGTTGGACGAGAGACTCTCTAAGACCCCCTGTAGCTCAGCAATGCCAGCTTTTAAGTTCTACACTTAATGGAAAGGCTTTTCATTTAATCAAGAAGAAATCAATCAAGTGGAAATACTTACACAGCAATCCCAAAACAATCAGTGCAATGAAAATGTGAACCAGAAGGGTGGTGATGAATCGGAAGGTGAACATCATGGCCAAAGACAAGGCTAGAAGATTAAGCAAAACATATAAATTCTAACAAGCACCAAGGCATGAGGGGGATGATGATGGGGCTGGAACGCCTAAACCTTCCAAAAGAGTGAGGGCTGAGGACTTCCTTCAATCTCTAGATATCCTGGACATCTACCAAAGAAAAAAACAAGACACACCCAGGCCCCTCTCTGAAGCATACACAAGTTAGGTCTGTGACAGTGCCACTTCCTGAAAGTGCTAGCATTCTTCTTGAATTAAAAAAAAATTCTTTTAAAGCAGGTATTATTCCCCAAAACCCTAAACTTTCTTTTTTTCTTTGAAGTCCAAATGAACCATCTAAAATTTTTTATCAAACTTAACTCTTTTGATTTCATAACTTATCTAAAGTTCTAATTTTCTGTTCTCAGATACTCTCATTAAATATGAAAGATGAATGCCTTTAATAATGAAAAATTTAAGATTATAAGATGTATGTATAAAAATCTGCACATCTGTTTCCAATTCGGGAGTTTTTAAGCCTATGAATTTATTCTAAGTACTTCAGTGAATTTATAAATACTATATTACTTTTTTTTCTAAACAAGAATTCAAGATTACATATAGATATTTGGGTGTAGTGGTTAAGAACATGGGTTTAGAATCAGATAGGTCTGGGCTGAGTCTCAGCTCTGCACCTCTGCTTGGCCAAGCCTCAGACCTCTCTAAGCCTCAGCTTCCTCTCCTGCAAACGGTGATAGGGTTCTGATGAGGTTTAATGTGTTAACAGCAAGCAGGATGTCTGGCCCATCTGGGTCATAAGAAGTCTGGAAGTTACATAACGGTGGCTAGTTAAGCATCCCCAAGCATTCAGGAATTAGTAACCTTTAGGTAATGAAATTACGGAAAACTCAATTTGTAAACTGGCAAAATTATGTTAATGGCTGATCAAAGAGTTTCTTTCAACCTTCCAAGGTTGGGAGGCAGCCGCTGTAAATAACGGGGTAAATAAGAGGCCACTACTATTGCCTACAGCAGCAGAGAGAACTAATTCGTTCAAAGAGAAGGTCGACTCTTAAAGGAGCTCATCGAGCTGAAATAGCAAATGGGAAGTCAAACGGTGACGAGCGCCTGGGGGGCTGCTTCCAGAAAGGCCGGGAAAAGGCATGATCTGGCTCAAGACCTTGACCCTCCTACAACCCAGCAGGCCTGTTCCTAGGAGGAGCTGGATACATCAGGTCAATGCCCTCTGATGCTATGCCCTCTATGCTACATGCAATGATGCACACACCTCCTTCCCTTGCTCACCAAGCAGCCTTGTGATCGGGCTTGCCTAGGGGAAGAGGGCTCACGGGCCAGAGGACATGCGTTCCTGGTACTTATCATGGCCACTTCACAAAGTGGCAATCTGCTCTGCACATCCATCCTTATGCAGAGCTGAGGGGCAGGCCCTGGAAGGCGGTCACTCTCTAAGGCAGCCCCACCTAGTGAGGCCTCGGGGCAGAGAGCCAGCTGGCCTCTCCCCAGTCTTACTGCCCCCTGCTCCACTTGAACCTGAAACACTGAAAATAACTACAAAGAAAATATATGAAGTTTTATATTTAAGTCAAGAGGCTAATTTCCATTGTACAACATACATAAGTGCTAGAAACTTTGGTATAAATAGTCACTGAAATAAAATTAATTGAAAATTACCGAAGGCGAGGACACAGAGACCGAGGATTGTGTCTCTTCCTGACATTATTCCACTTAGAATTCGATGGAGGGCGTCAACATCATTGATCAAAACAGATGCAAACAGGGAATAACACTCAGGAGTTTGAGGGATGCATCGATTAAACAAGGGAAAAGACTTGCTAAAAAATAAAAGAATAAGTGGCAAAGATGTTTACTTAATTACTTATCTTAAAAAAAGATGTTTATTTAAAATTCTCAGCAACCAAAATGTATAAGATCTACAATAATAAAAAGAAGTTTAACATCTTGTTTGCAGTCTACACCTTACAAAGCCAGGCATCTGTGCTGCTACAGTGCTCAGCTGATGCCCGGATGGGAAACTGATTATGGAGACCCATAGACACCAGGAACCTAATCTTGGGGAATGACATTGCTGACTCTCATGTCTTGGCCCTTCCTGGATAACAAACTACCAACTCCAACGCAAGAATCACATTTCTTTTATGAACTATTAGAGATAAGGACTGGCTCAATCAAAAGCTGTACTAATGAAACCACCAGCTTTATTTCTATCCTCTTTAAGAAGACGTAAAAGCCTTGAGAGTTTTGTTACAAACAGAGTGAGTGCTTAATAAATGAGTGATAAATGTATGAATGAAGCTGTGGTTGATAACTGCCTTGGGTAGATGAGAAAGCTGACCTCCTTTGGGGCCCTTCCTGAAATGGAAAAATGCCCAGGAATGTTCATCCCAATGAATCTTAATGAGGCCACACATACCTTCACAGCATCCTGCTCTTCCTTCCTTCTGTGGGCCCCAAACAGTGGAAATAATCCTGATCCAAGAAGTGCCAAATTATCTGACAAGTTGCTAAAACATTAGGCGGTCGCCAACATCGCATTGCCATGAAGGCAAAATGCCTTCTGAAACCCCAGTGAAGCTCAACACAGAACATACAGCAGGATCTTTCTCAGGAGTCACAACAGTATGTGAGAGCTCCCGAGTCACTGAATGGTGATTTAAGAGAACAGTAATACAACCGAGCCGTTGTGTTTTTTAAATTAAAAATTTTGCAAGTGTGATACATTCACACAGCTCAGATTCCAAAAAGGTGCAATAGGATAAACTGTGGGTAACTGCACTTTCTTCTCCTTGGGCCACGGAAATACATTTCCTCACAGGCGACCGCTGTTTTGGTTTCTTGTATATCATTCTAGAGACGTTTTTAGCATACACGAACGTAACAGGAAATTTAAATAGGAGTCTGCTGCTGAGGCTCGAAGATAATAAAAATTATATCCCCAAATGAGATGCCAGACCCCACCAAGCAGGGCTTGTCAAAAGAGAGGTAGGAGAAAACTGGTTATTCTCTTAAACCTTCACCCACACTGAATATAAGAGTGTTGGAAGTTGGAGATTAGAAGAGCATTTTATAAAATAAACTTTTAATTTTGGAATAACTTAAGTGTTACTGAAAAATTGCAAACATGGTACAGAGAGTTTCCATGTACCTTCACTCACCTCCACCTAATGTTAACATCTGACATAGCCACAGCACATTTGTGAAAATTAAGAAATCAACATTGGTGGGCTTCCCTGGTGGCGCAGTGGTTGAGAGTCCGCCTGCCGATGCAGGGGACACGGGTTCGTGCCCCTGTCTGGGAGGATCCCACATGCCGTGGAGCAGCTGGGCCCGTGAGCCATGGCCGCTGGGCCTGCGCGTCCGGAGCCTGTGCTCCGCAGCGGGAGATGCCACAACAGTGAGAGGCCCGCGTACCGCAAAAAACAAAACAAAAACCAAAAAAAACATTGGTGCTACACTATTAACTAAACCACAGTCTTTATTTGGAAGTCACCATTTTCCACCAATTCCTTTTTCTGTTCCGGGATACCACACTGCATTTATTTGTTGTGTCTCTCTTGGTTTGTGACAGTTTCTTAGTTCTTCCCTATTTCTCATAACTTTGACACTTTTGAAGATTCATGGTCAGGTATTTTATAAAATGTCCTTCAAGCTATAGAATGACCCTCACATTTTCTCATGATTAGGCTGCAGTTATGGGTTTATGGGAAGAAAACCACAGAGGCGAAGAGCTATTCTCAGAGGATCACATCAGGGGACACGACAGCAACATGACACCACTGCTGAAGTTGCCCGAAATCACTTGGTTAAGGTGGCTGGTACCTGCCAGTTTTCTCCACTGGAATCTGACTATTTTTCTCTTTCTACACTCTGTTCTTTAGAAGTGATTCACTAAATCCAGCCTGCTCTCAAGAAGAGGGAAATTAAGTTCCACCTCCTGGAGGAGGAATATCTACACACATTATCTGAGATCCTCTGTAAAGATTTATCCCCTTTCTCCCATTTATTTATTTACTTAATCAGTCATTTATTTATATAAGTATGGACTCATGGATATTTACTTTATCATCAACCCTAGTACGTAGCTTCAAAATTGCTAAATAGTACCCCGTGAGAAACAAATTTACCAACTAGAGCACAGTGTTTATGTACAGTATTTTAAATTTTTTGGTGGTTTTTTTTTCTTGGCTTTAGCTTACAGTATGTAGTCACAGGGTTATTTCCCAAAGTTACTTAGGCCAGCTCCTTTTCTCTCTACTCCCTTCAGTTAGGTTATGTCATACATTTATAATAAGTTAAATTCATTTGTTGTAGTCTACATTTTATCCTGAGATCTCCTGATACCTTGGTTGATTGTATTTTTTATTTGGATACAGTTGACTGTGTACAGGTGTTGGCAAGTGCATAGACTCACGTACAAGAGCAATTCTAAAGAGATGTTTTTGTTTTTGTTTTGAGAGAGAGAACTGCCATGTGAATCTATCGCTGTCCCTTAGGGTGAGGGATACTACTCCCTCACCCTAAGATGAGAAGTGAGAAGATGTTTCCTGGAAACAGATGAGAAGTGTTTCCTGGAAAATTCAGAGGCTTTACAGACCTTAACCCATGGGTTAAGGTCTGAGCCCTGAGAACGGGGTGGGGCTGGTGTCCAGGATGGTTACATGGACGACTGTGGGGACCTTAGTGGAAAGAAGCTGTGGGTAGCTGCTCAGTGCCTCGGGAAAGGGGAAGGAAGGCCCAACCAGAGGAATAGGGAAATGATCAGCCAGGGCAGAGATGCACTCAACCATGTAAGGGGCACTGCTGGTGAGAAAGCCCATTGATGGAACTTTCCAAATAACCCGGAAAGTGCTTCATGGAGAAAGCTGGCTGGAACATCTCCCAAGCCCAGAAGACTCATCCTAGAATCAGTACTAGTCAAGTAAAAATGCTCCTGGCTCCTTCTGTCTTCTCTTCACTTTTGGTGTGCCAGCCCCAAGAGTCAGAAGCCCGTTTTAGCAAGCTGGGAAAGGAAGGGGTGAGGAAGTAGGAGAGGAGAGAGAAGCAGAGGATTGCACCTCCCCTGACCCAAGCCGTCTCCCTGCTCCTGACCCAACCTGGGGGACGGAGAAACTTCAACTTCCGGTCAAGTTTGAAGTCTGTCACACTGCACTGAACATTTTAATTCCTGAATTGAAAGTGTCTTTTACCACTTAAAGTGACTGAGTCCTTACTACCTAAAAGTAACCAGAGAAGTCCTGCGAACTGTGTTTTCATTCAGGGTCAGAGAAAAAACTAGTCTGGCTGAATAAATTTAAAGAGACAGAGAAACAAAACTAGAGTGGCTTTCTAACTACATCCTATAGGCTATGTTTGATGTAATGATTATACGTATATAAACACATAAGTCACACTTATATTTCCTTTTTATGGAAAAGGTGGTACACTGCATACTGCTTTATAGTTAGCTTTTTTTTTTTAACTTAATACATCTTGTAGCTCTGCTCATATTAGAATATAAGAGATTCCTCTTATTTTTACTGAGGTAAAATTTACATAAAGTGAAATGTCCAGATCTTAAACATACAGTTAGTGGCTTTTGACAAATACATATGTCAATGTAACCACCAGCCCTTTCAAGGTGCAGAACAGCTTTTTTACCCCAGAAAGTTCCCTCATGCCCCCTTCCAATCAATCTCCATGCCTCTACAGGCACTATTAATCTGATTGCTATAACTAAACATTAGTTTTGGCTCTTGTCTAATCCCATTTAAATGGAATCACACAGTATGCACTTTTCTGTGTCCAGCTTCTTACACTCAGCTGTCACATGTATCAGCAGATCTCTCCTTTAACTGAGTGCTATTCCACTGTATGAATACACTACCACTTGTTTGTCTAGTCTCCTGTTGATTGCCATTTGAGTTGTTTACAGTTTTGAGCTATTAAAAATAAAGCTGCTATCCAGGACCTACTGTATAGCACAGGGAACTATATTCAATATCTTGTCATAACCTATAATGGAAACCTGAAAAATAATATATTTATATACATACATATATGTGTGTGTATAACTGAATCACTTTGCTGTATACCCGAAACACTGTAAATCAACTATACTTCAGTTAAAAAAAGATGCATCATCATCGTTTTTAAAAAGCTGCTAGCAACATTCGTATAAGTCTTTTTAGGGACACCCATTTTCATTTCCCCAAGTAACTACCTAAAAGTGGAATTGTTGGGTCATATGGAAAGTGTATGCTTAGCTTTATAAGAAGCACCAAACGTTTATAAAGTGGCTGCAGCATTTATATCCCACCAGCAATGGCTGAGACTTCTTGCTGTTCTACCTCCTCACCAGCACTTGACATGGTTCACCTTTCCAGCGGGAGCCCTTCTAGTAAGCATGTAGTGATATCTCACAGTATTTTCAATTTGCATTTTCCTGATGGCTAACAATGGTAAGCATCTTTTCATGTACCTATTGGCTCTTTGTTTATCTTCTTTTGAAAAGTGTCTGTTCAAGTCTTTTGCCTGGTTTTATTGGGTTGTTTGACTTTTCGTTATTGATTTAAAGTAGGGATCAGTCAAATTCAGCCCACCATCTGTTTTCGTACATGAAGCTTTACTGGAGCACAGCACAATCCATTTCTTTATGTATTTTCTATGGCTACCCTTGCCCTGCCCTGGCAGAGTTAAGTACTAGTGGCTACTGAGATGATAATGTCCACAAAGCCTGAAATATCTACTATGCGGCGCTTTAAAGGAAAAGATTGCAGATGCTGACTTAAAGAAATTCTTTATATACATACTCTGGATTTAAGCATTTGTCATATAT